AGATTAAGAAAAAGAAAGAGGGAAGAAGGAAGGAAGGAAGGAAGGAAGGAAGGAAGGAAGGAAGGAAGGAAGGAAGGAAGGAAGGAAGGAAGGAAGGGGAGGACATATTTGGATAAGTCAACATCTGGGTTTTCTGTCCCACTGTTAAGGCTTGGGTCTAGATGTTCCCTAAAAGCCTCGAATGATCATAGGTGGGGCTTTTTCAGAGGTGGCTGATCTAGAGTGTGTGGTGGGAGGCTCAGGGATACTAGGATTAAAGTTGTGAGTGCTACCTGCTCTGAGTAGTCTGGATAAGCAGGGAGAAAGAGCCACGGTCGCCTCCTGCTGCGCCTTTGCTGCCATCTGCCTGCCACGAGCTGCTCCTCCTCTGCACGCCCCTGCCCTGCCTTGGAGGTGGCCGACCGTGGCCTGGAACCTTCATGAACTGTAAGCCAAGTAAACTTTTCCTCCTTTAACTCTGGCTGTCAGGTGTTTTGTTTCAGCAACAAGAAAAGTAAGACATGCACTGATCTCTTTTTTTTTGGCGGAACCGGGGATTGAACTCAGGCCCCTGCGCTTGCCAGGGAAGTGCTTATTCCACTGAGCCATCTCCCCGGCCCCCAACGCATTGATCTATGTATTTATTTTTTCACCAATACTCAACAGATTTGGAAGCTACATAGTAAATTTCTCTCTCTCTCTCTCTCTCTCTCTCTCTCTCTCTCTCTCTCTCTCTCTTTGTACCGGGGATCAAATTCAAGACCTTGCACTTGCCAGGCAGGCACTTATGCCACTGAGGTATATCCCTCCCCTTCCCCCCCCCATTTTATTTTTTCCAAAACTGTTTTAGCTATTCTAGTTCTTCTGCTTTTCCATATAAACTTAAGAATAATTTTATCTATAGCTAAAATATATATTGTTGAAATAAATAAATTAAATAAAAATATATTTTTGGGCTTTTGTGAAGAATTATATTCAACCTGTATATTCAATCTGGGGAAACGGACGTATTAACTTCCAATTCATGAACATAGTGCACAGATATATCAGATGTATAGGGGCCTGCCCCTTAGTTCAGTTCTTTAAGTGGCTGCTTCAACAGAGCAGTCAGGCTCAGGTTGCTGTGGTTCGATCCCTACAACTCAAGGCAGCCAAACCTGCCCTGAAGGCATTCGGAGAAAAAAAAAAAAAACCCTACATAATTTCAATTTGGAAGCAATTAAAAAAGGTGTTGTATTTTTAATACTTTTTAATACTGTCAATGTATTTATAACTAGTATAAAGAAATTTCGGATTTAACAGCCTATTTATTTAACTATTGTTCGGATTCATAAACAAGTTGTGTGGTTGGACTTGCCCCCTTTGCTTGGATTTATGACTTTTTTGCACAGGTCTACACATCTTGCTGATGGAGTCTCTATGTCTTTTCTTGGTGCAGTGCACTTTGCTTATATAGTTCTGTAATCTTTTCTGACTGGACTGTGTGGCATAGTACTGGAGTTTTAAGTTCTATTACACATTACACTTCTGCAGATAACAGTTATGCAAATAAAGTCAAGCAAGGTGGTGCATGCCTTTAATCCTAGCACTCAGGAGGCTGAAACAAGGGATTGCTATGAGTTTGAGGCCAGCCTGGACCACACAGTGAGTTCAAATCCAGCATGAACCAATGTAACAAGGCCCTGTCTCAAAAACAAGCAAACAAATGAAAGGGTTCTGCAAAAAAAAGAAAAGTCTTGGGGCCCGGGAGATAGCTCAGTAGAATAAGCGCTTGCCTGGCAAGCACAAGGGCCTGAGTTCAATACTCAGTTCCACAAAAAAAAAAGCAAAGTCTCCTTTGACCATTTCTTTGCTCTTTTTTTTTTTTAATTTAATTTTTTGTATTTTTGTCTACAGGGTGTTTAGGGTCTCACTACTAGATCAGACTCATAGTGATCCGCATGTTCACAGCCTCCCAAGAGATGGGATTATAGGCACACACTACCACGCCCAGTCTCAATGCTGTCTCAGCATGACCCTAAGGGCAGGACCAGCACAGCAGGCCTGGGGATCTAACCCCAGGCCCCTGTCTGCTTGCAGCAACTTTAATCTGCTGAGCTATTTGGCTGGCCCTCTTTGTTCTTTTTCTAAAGGCATATTATTTTACTCCTTTTGGAAGACCAGCTCCCACCCTGAACTTAGAAGGGGTGAGCAATAAGAGAGCCAACAGATACAACATTGTTGTATCACCTATAAAACACCTAGGTGAACTGTGCTCTTTCTACATCCAGGGAAGCCTCTTGAATCACCCACCAGCTTAGAAGCTCAGACCTCATGTAACAGAAGTGCTAAATTAAGAACACATCTTTCAGACACTGCCTGTTCCTAACAGTTTTAGTACACTGATGTTAATTTGTATATTTGTGTATTTGATATAGGATTTCACTACACAGATCAGATTCGTGGTGATCCTTCTGTCTCAGCCTCCCCAGAGCTGGGATTACAGGTGTGCTCCACCATGCCCAGACTCTGGCTCAGCATGCCCGGGGGGGTAAGTATACCACAGCATGTGGGACTAGGGATTGAACCCAGGTCCCTGCGCTTACCAAAGCAGGTGCTTTGTCTGCTGAGCTATCTCACTGGCCCAAGCAGCAAATTTTAAACCCACCAATTCACTGGAAAAGTCATGACTTTTCTTAGAAAAAAAATTGCTTCTCAATATGTTGGTAACAAGTCATGGTAGAGACCCGAGTTTGGTTCAGTGCATTTCTCCCTGACTTATATTCTGGGAGGTGGAGCAGTTCCTCCTCGGCCATGGAAGCAGAAGGATTTGAGGGACTAGGCAATCTGGTCTCCTGTACACATAACAGGCATTTCCTCCCTTCAGTAACATCCAGAAAGTCAAAGATCACAGATACATTCAGGGAGCCCAGACTCATCACAGAGCCAAATGACACACTTTTGGTGACTGTTTACCAGTCAGAAGTTCCTGAACAATCCTGAGACCCAGAGGTACTTTAATACCCAGAAGAGCTTTAACCCAAGTTCTCAAGTACTCACCCAGCACAAAAAAGTGGCAACAATACTAACACCAAAGTCAACCCTGAGAAGCACAGGAACAGGGTCCTGTAACCAACACAAAGCAGAAGGACAGCAAAGCAGGACAAAAATGCAGACTGCACATGTGAACGCGGAATTGTGCAGAAGAGGAGTAATCTCCTACGAGGACATGACTTTCCCAATCTGTCACACACATTTGAGGATGACGGAAATGATGCCTGATTCATCCTGAATGGATAACCAAAAGTAGCTGCAACAGTATCATTTTCATTCAGTTGAGGACAACCCACTAGAATCTTAAAACCTCTACAGGTGGCAAAAGGGAGAATGGCAGCGAGCTATTCCATCTGCATGCCGCTCTATTTCCCTTCTGTCATAATTTTGCCATTGCCCAGCAGCAAGGCTTGTTATTTCTTTCCCTGCTTCAGGACTTTGATAAAGCCCAAAGGCTCCTTGAGTGGGACCAGGTTGCGCTGGAAGGCGGACATCCTCTGAGAGAGGCAGGAGAGAGGGGCCGGCACCAGAGGAGGAGAGGACCCAAGGCCCAACAGCCAGGACAGAAGGGCAGGGTGGGTGGGCTCTGTTTCTTTGTTGTAAATATTACAATACACATACTAAGTACAATTCCCTATTTAGCAGTCACTTCAATTAATGATTTGGATGCCGGACCAGAACTCAGTTTTAAATAAGCAATATTTGCACATTGTCTTTTGTATATTATCTTTCACCCTGTGATCTTGTGAAACTTATTTTTTATTTGTTTGATACAGTGTCTCAAACACATAAAGTTTAAAAAAAAAAAAGAGTAGTACTTGCTTTCACAAGGCAAATTGAAATGTTTTCTATTTTCTGGAAGAGATTATGTAGAATTAGTATTAGTTCATTAAACCATTGTTAAAATTTCTCAAAGAAACTATCTTGTCTGGAGAGGGGTTAGATCCTAAATTCCATTTCCAGCCAGCCATAGTGGCACACCCCTGTAATTCCAGCACGTGAGAGATGTAGCTTGGTGAACCGTGAGTTCAAGTCTAGTCTGGACCACATAGTGACCACAATGTGAGACTTTGTCCCCAAAAAACAAGACAAAACGAAACAAAAACAAAAAAATTCTCAACAACAGCTACTAAGTACCCCATAATATCCTTATAACACACTCATATACTAACATTTTTAGAACCACAAGGACTTACAGAATACAGGTTTGTGCGCGAGGTCATCTAAAGTGATTCCTCCTTCAGGACTGAACTCAAAGCTGCTAGTGAAGTTGTATTTTGCAGTTCCATCAGGAGAAACAGTAACTTTTGAAGAGTCTCCCAGAACCACCTGATTGAATTCTGCTCGGATAACAGTGACCGGAGTATCTCCTTTAGAGCCTTTCTGTGGGCAGAGACACATCACGTTACGATGATACTTCAAAGTAGAATATTTTTGTACACATCTGGTAACACATTTCCACCAGGAATAAGTACCATTTTCTTTTTCTTTTTTTTCCTAACAAGCTATGCACAAATACATTTGGAGCAAGTAAAAGAAATCATTAAATAAATATAGTTGTAGCTAAATGAAACATTTCATTTACATGCTATTAGGTTAAAGTTTTGAAAAACAGGATTTATTGTGTTTTATCTGATTATAAAAGTGTACTGTGGAACATCTGAAAAAAGTGAGAAAATCACATAGGAAACTAAATTACTCGTAATCTCACTCTAACGTGTAACCACTATTAATATTTTAAATATACGTTAGTGCTTTGCTGCCCATTTATACAATACATATTCTACTGTACATTTAGGAATAAGTAAAGCTCATTAATTACATTGTCTTCTTGGAACACGCACTTTAAAATTAAACATAATGGGCTGGCAAGATAGCTCAGTGGTCTACAGCACCTGCTTAGACAAGCTTAGGCTGGTGCAGGGGATCATGGTTTGATCCCTGGCACCACATGCAGCACCAGCCCCACCTTCAGGGTGGGCTGAGCTGGCAAAAAAAACCCTAAATTAAATATAATGAATATTTTGCCACTATTATTCTTCTAAACGAATCACAAAATAAACTGCAAGAATTGAGATCCTGGGCCGGCCAAATAGCTCAGTGGATTAAAGCACCTGCAAGCAGGCGCAGGGGCCGGGAGTTCGACCCCAGGCCAGTAGTGCCGGCCCCGCCCCCGGGGCACACTGAGATGGCAATCAAGACTGGGCATGATGGTGCATGCCTGTAATCCCAGCTCTCGGGAGGCTGTAAACAGGTAGATCACTGCGAGTCGAGTCGGATCTAGTTGTGAGACCCTGAACACTCTGTAGACCCTTCCCTAAAATACAAAAAATAAAAATAAAAAGAATTTAGATCCTTCTCAGGAAAAAAAAGGGAAAAAAGAAATTATGAGCTGCTCTCTGGGAAAATCAAAACTACTTCTTGCTTCACTCCTGTTGGAGGTAGCATTCAAACTGCCAACTATTTCAGATGCCCAGAAATGAGGCTTGCTGAGCACAGACCCAGAGCTGACACACCGAGAGGAAATGGCTGTGTACGTCAGGAGGTTTGAGGTTGGAAATAAGGCAAAACTCCGCACCTCCCCTGATGCTTTTGAACAAAGGACTGTGGATTTGCAGAAATAACTTTACCAAATCATAGCCATTCGTCACAGTGATCTGCACCATTCTGCCTGCAGATGTCACCTGCTCCATAGCAGCTGCTGGGCAGTACCTCTGGTCTTCTTTGGCTTCTGTAAGGGAATAAATGAGACCCTTTCTACTCATGTAGCATAGCTGCAGAAGTACCCACAGTGCATCACAACCAACACTAGGCCCAAGCACATGCTGTCATCCAGCGCTATTCTGTTTTCCCTTCCCAACCTCTGTTGCTGGACAGCTGGTATATTAGGGCACTAGTCACAAGAAGGACTCCCTGGATGGTGCTAAAAAGATTCTTGTGTCTGTACCTGTAACTAATCTATGAAATCTATGTGGGAGTCTATGTGGGAGTCATCGCAGAGGGACAGCAGGAACCCCTCTCACCACCTCCCTCTCCCCACATGCTTCACGGTGTTCTCTGGTCACTTCATTTCAACCTGCAAATCTCAGAGCCAGCCAGTGACACATGCCTGTGATCCCAGCTATTCAGGAGGCTGAGGCAGGAGGATCACAAGTTTGAAGACAGTCTTGACAACACAAAAAGTCTCATCTCAAAAACAAAACAAAATCATTACTTCTCAATTTGACAAAAATATGGGGAGCAAAGAAAGAGTCGCATAAAATGGTAGCCTACTGGAAAAGATCTTAGCATATGTTCTGTCAGATACATTTTTAAAGTATTTTTCAACACTAGGAACTTAACTTCAAAAATAAATAGCATTAAAAAAAAGGTCATTTTTTCTAACTCAACATAAAGTAGAACTTACCAGGGCCAGGGAGATGGCTCAGTAGAAAAAGTGCTTCCCTGGCAAGCACAAAGGCCTGAGTTCAATCCCTGGTTCCACATACACCAAAAAAAATTGAACTATGTAGTTCAAACATTTACTGAAGACATACTGCACTGTGTCTGTCTGTGACTGGTGACACAAGAAGGAATACAGGTCCTTCTGGCCCTCATATTTACTAACTCATAACTGTCTCCATTGCCTACCATTCTCACATCACTTGTTACGGAGGACCACCCGGGTGACTCCTTAAGCGGAGCAATTGCCTCCATTTTGGCTGAGCCTGACCCTATTTCCATGTACTGATATGCACAGAGCTGGCTAGGACTTTTCCTTATCCCCTCAACTGGCTTTGAGCAATGCATATCAGTCCAGCCGAGGTGCTGGGGCTAGTCTTTGAAGATGGCAGGTGTGTTTCCCCAGAACCCCCAGCCGTTGTTCCCTTGTGTGAGCTGGCACAAGGATAAAGAGTCAGTGCTCCACACTGGCAGCTGGGACAGAGCCTCAAGATAGAGGCTATGACCTCCTGGGGCTCGAAAGATTGCACATCAGAGCTGAAGCACTGACCCCAAAACACCACCTCAGTTGTGTAATGCAGACTACTCTTTTTGTATATCCTTCTCTCTGAACACTGCAGAGGCTATTTCAGGCCTCCTACCTAGCCCAGCTCATGGCCCTCACCTACTTCCCACCATTCTCAAGCCACTCCTTTCTTCATGAATGAATAAAACCCAGGTTCCACCTTGCGTCGAGGCCTTTGTTCTGGACAGCCATCATGGTGCCCAGACTTAGGAGCCCTTGACCCCCCATAACTACAGATATGCCGTAGTGTCTTTATTCTCACTATAGGTTGCACTGGGTGTGGTAGATTGGGATTAACTTGGCAGGATCCCAATAACTTATCCATGGGATTACAAATATAAAATTCTCAGACCTAGACAAGGACCAGGAAGGGCTCTCTATAAATGTCCCACACCATGTATCTAGGCTCTCTGGGGCCTAAGTGACACTGACAGTTTCCTCCTAAGTGTACACATGTAGAGTCTTGTGTGCCATTCTTCTTCCTGCTGTGACATACTGTGGTATCACATGAACTGGGCCTTTGTTTCTCTCCAGCTAGACTAGAATAAAACCCTATGACTGGTCTCCTGACTCAATTATTTCTTCATTTTAACCTATCCCACTTCCATCGAAATCATTCATTGAACAAATGTTTTAAGTGAAGCATAGGGTGCTGATGATACAATAGGGTGCTGATGATACAAAACCTTTTTTTTTTTTTCTTTTTTTGCGGAACCAGGGATTGAACTCAGGCCCTTGCGCTTGCCAGGGAAGCACTTATTCCACTGAGCCATCTCCCTGGGCCCCCCTTTTTTTTTCTTTGATACAAAACCTAAGACATAAACTCCCAAGCCTCAAGGAATCAAAAATTTAGCGAGGGCCCAGTGTGGTGACCCACTCATGAAGTCCCCCTTGGAAGGCTGAGGCTGGAGGATTGCAGCGGGTTGGAGACCTGCCGTGAGATACATAGTGAACTCAAGGCCAGCCTGAACTACACAGCAAGACCCTCTCTAAAAAAAGGAAAAAAAATCTAGCGAAGAAAAGACATATAAATGACCAACGGTTATAATCTGTGTGATGCATGGTCTAAAAGGGGGATAAGGAGTAGGGTAGTGGGGACCATCCCAGGGGGAAGAGTGGGTAGGTAATTTTTCTAATTTCTTTCAGTACTGGGATGGAACTAAGGAACTTGCACCTGCTGGGCAATGGCTCCACTGAGCAACATCCCTAGCACTAGGGAATTAACTTTGGACAATGGTTTACTAATACACCAGCGTATGAAAGGTTTTACATATGTTATCTTATATGTATCTGCTCTTCCAGGCAACTCTTGAACCTCAATTTTAGGGAAAATGAAACAAATCTTCACACAAGATTGATACCTTTTTGTATCACCTGAGTCAAAACCTAAGGTGATGGCACTGAGCTAAAAACTCAGCCCTTTCAAAAAAAAATTTTTAGGGGCTGGTGAGATGGCTCAGTGGTCTAAAGCACCTACTTGGAACAAGCTCGGCAAAGCACAGGGACCACTGTTCAATCCCCCAGCACCACATGCCAGCCAGCCCCGCCCCCTGGTGGGCTGAGCTGGCCACACACACACACACACACACACACACACACACACTAAATAAATGTTAAAAAAAAATTAAAAAAAAATACATACATGGGCACAAGGTCCTGAGTTTGATTCCCGGCACCAAAAACAACAATAACAACAACAACAAAAAATTTTTAGAGGGGTGATACAAGGTCTCACTACGCAGCTCAGACTCGTAGTGATCCTCCTGTCTCAGCCTCTCCAGCGCTGGGATTACAGGCATGTGCCACCATGCCCGGTTTCAGAGCGACAAGCACATCCAGGGCTCTGGGGCCAGCACTGCATGTGGTACCAGGGATCAAACTTTACGTTTGCCAGGCAGGTGCTTATACCTCCGAGCTATCTCTTTACCCCTTTTAAAACTTTGTAAAATTTTTTTATTTTGAGACAGGGTCTCACTAAGTAGCCCAGATGGGACTTGAACTTGTTGTCTTCCTGCTTCAGCCTCCCTCAGTCCTGGGATTATAAGGTCTTTATGTGTCATGAGTTTTTTATCTTATGGTTGGTCACAAGGAAGTGCTGAGGCTCAGACCTGACTGGATTTGAGGGTACATAAATGGATACCCGGGGGCCTGCCCATTAGCTCAGTTGTTTAAGTGCCTGCTGAAACAAAGCAGTCAGCCGCAGGGAGCTGTGGTTCGATACCCAGATACTCAAGCCAATCCAGAGCAGTACTGGAGGCAATCTGAGGCCACCAAAAAAAAGGGGGGGGGGCAGGGAGGATACCCATGTCAGGAAAAGTCTTTGTCAGAGGAGACTGGAGCTCGCAAATAGACTACAATGAAGGACGTCACAGGCCCGATCATAGTGCTGCCTTATTTTCCCTCATTTGTCAAATGAAGTTAAACTGTGATGTTAGCACTCAAGCCCTCTGGGCTCCGTCAGTCCCCATCGTGAGCTACGCTGTGACTTAGTGTTTTTCAGACTCCCTGCACTTAGTCACGTTTGTAATTTTACATTTTTTTCTTCCTCCTATAACTTCCTCTTTCTTCCTCTCCATCTCCACTAGGCAAATCCTATTCATCTTGCTCAAATGCTTTCTAGACCACGAAGTTCCCAGTCAGAAGCATTTATCTCTCCTTTGATTTCTTCAAGCACTTTACACTTCTCTTGCGAATTACCACAAGCTGTCCTATTTATAAGGTCTGGGGATTTATTTGAGTTTTTGTGGTGTGAGGTTTCGAATCCAGGGCCTCGTGCACGCTAGACAAGAGCTTTGCCACTGAGCTACACTGCAGCCCCAGTGTAGCTTCTCTACTTAGTAACTGTGTAACCCTGGGCAAACGCCTGACTCCTCCGAGCCTCAGCTTCACGTTCTGAATAATGGATAATTTCCAACTTGTGAACCTCCCCTACAATAGTTACACTGTTAACTCTATGAAGCACTGAACAAATGGAGATATTAATGTGCGCTGATGTTCCCGGAAGCTCAGCTGAGCTCTGGAAGACAAGTCTTACATTTACCGCCCGCCACACCTGGCCCCCTGTGGCGTACTAAAGCGCATTCTCGGGGATCTGAATAATGAACGCAAGGAGTGAGACTAATTTTGTCAGGTTGGGTAACTCGGGCTCTTGCTGCTCCTAACAAGGCACGCACGTCGCTTCGTCTGCTCGGAGGCGGCGGCAAGGGAAGAGCCTTATTAGAAACAGGTTAGACAGAAGAGGTCTGGAGGGGTTTCAGGCAAAGATGCAAAGGGAGGATGCTCGAGCGTTGGGCTTGAGTGGGCGAGAGGTCAGAGGAGTTTGGGGCTGCACTGATTTTTCAATTTGGCCTTAGCTGGAGAAGCAGAAAACTGGAGTGATGGGATTTAGTGTGGCTGCAAAGGAGCAGAGTTTTGTTTTTTTTTTTTTGAGGAAAGGTAACTGTCTTACCTGAAGCAGCAGTAAGCGTTTTCGTAACTATAGCAACTACTCTCGCGAGAACTTACTTTCTCTACTCAAGTTTATTCCAAGACTCGCGATAATATGGTGCTAAAAGGAGTGAGTGTCTGCGCCTGCGCTTTGGAACCTATACGCCGGCGCCTCCCTCAGCCGTCTAGGCTTTGTGCCCTGTTTTCTCTGCTTCTTTCTTAAGCGTTGCACGAATTTGAGTTAAGTGTGTGGTTTTCTGTTTTGTTTTCTGACTCTTTTGCTATTCCTCCGTAAACAGATGAAGAACCAAAATGAAATTTATTTAAAGAAAAAAAGCCTTTAGCTAGCGGATTAGTAAAGAAATTAAGTGTTGTGCATTGGGAGGTTAAAGTAGGTGGATCTTTTGAGGTCAGGAGTTCCAGGTTGGCGAGGACAACAATATAGCAAGACCTTCCTCGCCTTAAAAACAAAAATCGATCATTTCATTATTATCCTTTTATATCCCTCACCCTGGGGGGCCTGCCCCTTAGCTCAGTTCTTTAAGCGGCTGCTTCCACAGTCAGGCTCAGGTTGGTGGGGTTCGATCCCCAGGACTCAACCCTGCCCTGAAGGCATTCGGAGCCAGCCCCCCCCCCAAAAAAAAATCCATCTATTCCTCACCCTATCCCCTTTCTTGGTAACAGGGTCTCTCTGCCTAACCTGGGCTCATATTTGAGATCGCCCTGCCTCAGTCTCCCAGAATGCTGGGATTATAGACCATGGAAGCCTTTCATTTGGGTATTGTGTTGCATACCTATAATCCCAGCGTTCAGAGGTTAACAGGCAGGTGGCTTGCTCTGAATTCAAGGCCAACCTGAACTACATAGCAAGACTGTCCCAAAACAAAACCCACAAAAGGCATATAAGAGTCTATTTTAAAAGTAAGCCTCACGGGCCAGGGAGATGGCTCAGAGGTCTAAGCGTCTGCCTGGCAGTCTCAAGTACCGTATTCAGTGTGGGGCCTGAGCCGAGTTGGCCCCTGAAACTGGGCGGGGTGGTGCATGCCTATAGTTCCAGCGCTGGGCAGGCTGAGACAGGAGGATCACTACGAGTCCAAGAAGCTGCATAGCAAGACCCTGTACCCCCCCCAAAAAAAAAGTTTTAAAAAATATAATCAAAATTCAACCTTTAAAGTGTTGGAAAAGCACATGATAACATTGATTCAAAACAACCCAAGTGCCCATCAAACGTGGTATCGTCACAAAATGGGGTATTGCACTTAAAATTTATGAACTGCAGCCACACAATGACAGATGAATCTTAGCAATATTTAAAATGTTGGACCTGCCCGGCAAGCACAAGGTCCTGAGTTTGATCTCTTGTAACACACACACACACACACACACACACACACACACACACACACACACAAATATTGGAGTATGAAACAAATTTGAAAGGATTTCCACTGGCCAAATTAGAGATGATTGGGGCTGGAGAGATGGCTCAATGGTCTAAAGCACCTACTTGAAACAAGCTTGGCAAAGCACAGGGACCGTGGTTCAATCCCCAGCACCACATGCCAGCCAGCCCCGCCCCCTGGTGGGCTGAGCTGGCCACACACACACACACACACACACAATAAATAAATGTAATAAAAATAAATAAATATTTAAAAAAAACAAATTAGAGATGATTTTAGCAGCACAACGATAATAATGGAGTACAGTCCAAGGAATAAAATAAGAATATTCAAGCTTATATTGTATGAATAAACAGATTCTTGCAGTAGAATGCCAACCAGGGAATTACCATTTGGCAACACCATAGCAGAGGCTGATGCAGGCTGTAGTAAAATGGTTGCTAAGGCTGGTGTGTGCAGGTTTGACAAGGCATAGGATATTGGCAAACTTCTGCAATCCTCCCCCAAGGAATTTGTACCAAGAACAGAGGGGAAATGACCAAGTAAATGGCATAATTAGGTAATAAAGATGAACATCACCAGCATTGGGAGGACTCTGCTGTATGCTTCCTGGTGAGATGCACTGAGAAGCTAAACATCTTTTCCTACGGTATTTGGTCTACTTGAAGGACCCAAGTTGCAGGGCATTCTGTGGACTGTGAATGCTCAGGGTGCAGGTCCTGCATGCTCCCCGAGCTCCCAGCCACTGAGCTACATCCTCAGCCCAAGGCCTGTACTCTTTAAAACTGTCAAACACCAGAAATCCTGGAAGCTGTTCCAGATTAAAAGGAGTCTGAAGATACATTAACCAAAGTGCATTGCTGTGTAGCATTGGAAAACACAAATGAAAGAATTTGTGGGGTTGGCCAAATAGGTCAATGAATTTAAGCGCCTACAAGCAGGCACAGGGGCTGGGGATTCGAGCCCCCCGTCCCTGGGGCTCGCTGAAGCAGCAATTGAGAGTGGGTGTGGTGGTGCATGCCTATAATCCCAGCTCTTGAGAAGCTGTAAACAGACGAATCACTAAGAGTTTGATCTATGTAGTGAGACCCTGAACACCCTGTAGACCCTTCCCTAAAATACAAGAAAGAAAGAAAGAAAGAAGAGGCAGCAGATTAAATGTGGGTGGGCACCATGGATTTGATGGTAGTGTGGTACCAATGCTGATCTCAAGTGGAAGGTTATCATAACACAGGGTTGGCCCTGTTTTAGTGAAATATAATAGAGTATTTAAAGTGATGAGGCATACCTACATAACCTGGGCAGTATGCCTCGCTAACTCAGCTTTTAGTAGCAGCTTAAATTCGCAACTATAGTACAAAGGGAAGCACTTAGGGTATTTTAATGAAAAGTTGCTAGCATCCCTAAGAACAAGCATGGAATAGTTATTGCCTCAAATCCAAAGCTAAATTTGCACTCTTGTCTTGTATTACTATGTCACTCAAAATCCACTGAGTGAAATATTATCTGCTAATGGTGATCTGAAAGTGCATTTAGTATGCGACTTGTTCATATCTGGATATCTTCTCTGATATTATGTTCTGTAAATAATAAATGGCCATTAAATATTTTTAAAAAATAAAGTGATGAGACATCATGTCTGAGTTTTGCTTTCTTGACCCTCAAAAGGACCAAAAAAAGACAATACCTCAGGCCATGTGCACACCTACACACAAAGAGTAATGGAACAAATGTAATAAAAGATTAGTAATCTGGAAGTTTCAATAAAGGAGACAACAGAATTCTTTACACTGTTTTCAAATGCTACACATTTTTCCATAATGGAAAATTTATCACATCACTGCCAACCTCCTTTCTGTTTCCCTCTTTGGAGTTCAGAAAGCTCTTCCGTTGCTGGCTCCTCCTTACTGTCTGACAAGCCAGCTCCTCTATGTCTACACCATTGGTGTCCAGATCCAAACTCTTGCCCACAGACACAATTTCCTCCATTACCTGTACGTTCCAAGTCATGTTCACCAACACATTCTGGCCACACTTTCTTCCAGGCTGAGTTTAAGGTCCAGTATGTGACACCTTCCTACACTAGGTCAACAAAACTGATGCAGTGAACATTAAAATGTTCCCTCCAGAAGCTTTTCAGAGTCAAGGACATCTGTTCAGTGACATTCAGTGAGGCTCTCAAGAAGCTTGTGCACAGCTTCTTGAAGTTGCAGATCTCTTGCCAGTCCATGGGCTGCAGAAAATGTGTACATCCTGAGTACAGCCATTTCATCCACCAAGGCTGGAGGGTGTGCCACGGTACTGTCCATCAGAAGAAACTACCTTCCAGGCACTTGCCTGCCTAAAGATATTTCTTTTTTTTTCTTTTTTTTTACTTTTCTGGCACTGGGGACAAAACTCAGGACCTTGTGTTTGCCAGGCAGGCACTTATGCCACTGAGCCAATTCCCTGACCCAAAAAGATATTTCTTTCTCTTTCTTTCTTCTTTCTTTCTTTCTTTCTTTCTTTCTTTCTTTCTTTCTTTCTTTCTTTCTTTCTTTTTC